CAGCAATGCAGGGGGATGTGAATACCCAGATAATTGGAAAAAAGTACCATGCCCAAGGACACACCCGTGCTGATCTGATGGTTGAGTTGGAACATGCGCCCTATTTAGTCACGCGTATGGTTCGCAAAACCCTGAGCCACTGCGAATTCTACTCTTATTAAATGTCATTAGAGGGCGTATCTGAAATTAACACCGAAGGACAAAAAATTCAAGGAGGAAATGGTGCAATTACTAATAAAACATAAGCTATGCGATATTTATAGAAAACGTACCATAATTAGGACAGATTACACACATGATTATAAAAATGGACAAGCTTGATAGATTTTATGGTACAAATTTTAATGAAAAACTCTATAAGGGGTCACAGATAACAAAAGTAAAATTTTTTTGACCATATGATTATAGAACTAGAGATAAATATTACTCGCATAACTAAATGGGGGAAAGGAACTTGGAAAAAAAATTAGGTATTGGAAGACAAAGAATTTGAAGAAATTAAGGGAAAATTTTTAAAAAATTCATAGAAAAGGAATACACAGATATAATAAACGATTGGGATATTTTAAAAGATGATTGTGAGAAAACAGTTTTGAGATTAGAAAACATATTGAGAGAAATGTCCAAAAAAGGATGAAATGGAAATAAAACTGCAGTTACACAGCGAAAATACTAAAAACCAAACAAAAAAAAAAATAAAAATGAAACTAAACCAAATAGAGGAAGAAAGGCTAAAAGGAAAAGAAGTGAAAGGAAATTTCAACGATTATATAGAAGGGAGAAACTAAGAAAGGATTGGGGAAAATATAGAAAAAATAAAAGATAGAACACAACAGGTACTATTAGACAAAAAGGAGATCCTAAATAGAATAAAAGAGTACTACAGCGAACTGTACCCAGCCCAAAATATAAGTACCGACTTAATAAACAAGTATCTAGAAGAAATAAAAGGTGAGAGAATATCATCAGTACATAAAACTTATGTGCTGATTTCATCTCCATGAACGAAATTTTAAACACAATAAAGCAACTATCGAAAGGGAAATTCCCAAGAAGAGATGGACTCACTGCGGAATTCTATCAAAAATTCCAAAGTGAGTTAGCGCCGATTCTAGAATTTTTATATAATAATATAATTTTGGAAAATACTAATATGACTAGATCTATGAGATAGGGACTAATTTCATTAATATTTAAGAGAGAGAGAGAGAGAGAGAGAGAGAGAGAGAGAGAGAGAGAGAGAGAGAGAGAGAGAGAGAGAGAGAGAGAGAGAGAGGGGGGGATCTAAACAAATTGGAGGCCCATCTCCCTCCTTAATAATGCCTATAAAATTCTTTGAAAAATACTAGCAAATGGACACACAAAACAATATACATAATATCAGAACAATAATCGATTATATTAAAGAAACTGGTAAAATTGGCGCACTGGTGCTAATTGATCAACAAAATGCTTTCGATAAAATTGAATATAACTATATACAGGAAGTTTTAAAAGTATTTGGCTTCGGAGAAACTTTCCGAAAATGAACCGAAATCATATACAACAAAATTACTGCAAGAGTACAGGTAAATGGGTCTGTAACGGATAGCATTGAAATACAAAGATCAGTCAGGCAAGGGTGCCCACTATCAATGTTATTATACGTAATAGCAATAGAAGTACTGAGTATAGAGATAAGAAGTAACCATCAAATACAGGGAATAAAAATACCAAATCTAAAAGACGAAATTAAAATGTTCCAACATACTGATGACTACACAAACTTTATCAAAGACCCAAACTCCTTCAAACACAGAAAAGGAGTATGAGAAATTTGGAAAAGCTTTTAGGTTAAAAAAATAAACCCTGACAAAACTGAAATACTTAAAATAAGAAACTGAATGGGAAATCACTCTGGATTACCTCCACATTATATAAAAAAAAACAGTGAAAGCACTGTGAATCTTTTTTGGATATAATGTAGCGGAATAAAACTGCAAACACATACTCCAAAAATACAAATATGTACAGAAATTTGGGCTGAAACGCCACTTAGCATAATAGAGCGAGCCCAAGTGGCAAAAACCTATCTCTACTCTAACATGAACTACATACGTAAATCAAATGACATAGAAAATATAATATTAGGATTACTAGACAAAGAAATTATATATATATATATATATATATATATATATATATATATATATATATATATATATATATATATATATATATATATATATATATATGTGTGTGTGGGTACAAAACATTATATTCAAAAAGATACATTATATAGGTCCAAAAAGATATGGGGAGTAAACTTGCCAAATCCAATCAAAATTAAACACGCAAACATTATAAATCGTTTTAAGGTAATAAAATCAACACCGAACCGTGTGAATCCTTATATATTTATTGGTTTGGATTCGCTATAAGGAATAGGCAAGATATATACAAAAATAACAAATTAAGTAAAATAATCAAAATGCCTAGAACATTTAGATATATAAAACAATCTATTACTACACTATAGGGATAATAAGGAATTATGACAATTAAAGATGAAACAAACCTATGAATGGATAGTAGATACAAGTACAAAAAATATTAGGAACAAGGTATAACAGGAAATATGGGGAGTAAGCTGGGAAAATATATGGGGGCAGTGAGAAAAATTAAACTCTTTTAAAAAACAGAAAATGATCTTTGAATACTTACCCAATACATGGCTTACTGGGGAGGTAGCCATGAGAAGGCATGGCATAAATCAAATGCCAAAATGTCCCATGTGTAAAAAATGTAACTATACTAAAGCCCATGTCATTACAGAATGTGAAAAAAAAACAAGAGAACGATATAATAAAATTGTACAAATCACCCAAATTGAAAAATACAGGAAAAACATGCTTTTATACTTAGAATTTCGAAAATAAAAATATATCAAATTGTCAGAATACATAATATCTATAATGAAAAGATGTGGGCAGATAATAATGATTAAAAAAACATACTCTATATAACAAATACTAACAATATGCATATGGATCACCATTGATTTTTTTCTTCATCTAATTACTCCTTTTTATTTATGGTACAGCGAACCTACACATGGAAGAAGTAAGAGACGTAGACGTCGTGAGACAACGCCACATGGCGCCACGCGAAGTGGACAGGCCTGCGACAAAGCTTTTGAAAAATCCACGTGTAGCACATGGACAGTCAGTACATACCAAAGGGACTAGGAAAACGATATTAACAATGGTGATCCGGACTAACCACAAACAACTAACTAGGAACTAATGCAAAAGATGTTTTTTTTTCTTCAGGGAATTTTGGCACCTTTTTGGTTTTCTGCGCTAAAAAGAATTTGGGATGCAGACAAATGCAGGGGGAATATAAATAAATAAAGGAAATCGTGTACCCTGCATGACGCAACTAAATTATGCTCTGTAACTATCAATTAGTTTACAGTCATCAGTATAAAAAGATAGACGACTCAGAACAACACAAAATCAACCAATAGGTTTTTCTTTCCGATGTAGTGCATCGTCTCACTCTCAGATATAAATATAAAAAATTCCAAATTTAAAATTACCTATATCAAAAACAATTCTTTTTAAATAAATAAAATATATACCAGCATGAGTATGTATGCATGCACATATATGCACGAATGTAAAATGTAAGGTATAAGTTGGTGTGTATGCAATGCATGGATAAGTGTATATATATATATATATATATATATATATATATATATATATATATATATATATATATATATATATATATATATATATATATATATATATATATATATATATATATATATATATATATATATATATATATATTTAGGCAATGAAATAGGAAAACTTGGGATATCTTTTGATTTGATATCTCTAGTCCCTACAAGACACTATATAACAAACACACAATATAGCATAACACATATAGCATACACAGGAATTAAGAGACCCTTGGCCAAGGTCACTCAAATTTGAAAAAGGCGAGAGACTCCGAGAAGGTAATTGGAACCTGATCGGATGAACGAACCTTCAGATACACTAGGGAAAATAAATACCCGGTCAAAAATTGTCTAAAAATAAATTTTCGATCTAAATTCTCTATATAAGATAATACATTACAACGCACCTGGGGAAAACGGAAACACATGAAATATCTTACTTTTATTATTTTTTTCCGGCTAAGTGGGGGGGCATCTGTCTTCTTTACTTTCCCCCCAAAAAATCTACAAACCCAATACGGCAGGGGTCTGACAATATCGGAAGAACGCTTGGCTGAGGATATTCCGATTTTTGACTGACGCTGATTGGGCAGATATATTATAGTGGGGATAATGTAGTATCCATACTGCTTTTCCTAATTTGTTTGATAATTTGTATTACAATTTGTATTATAATTTTGACTTCTATTAGCGGTTTTAATAAACTTTATGCATTTATGGAATTAAATTGCATCCCAGACATTTGTCTTAGACGTAAGTAAAGGTTTATATGTGAGCTGGTGCTAAACCCTTTACTGTAAAATGGTTGAGAAAAATCTTTTGATTTTGCTAAATAGAATTCATTCTCAATCATCAACTGTGACATAAACAACGCTACTTTAAATATGCTTGGGAAACGGATTGTTGATCGGAAGCAAAGACATAACAGTGATAATACGGCATTTTTCTTTGATATTTCATAATAAAAAAGAGATATCAGACAGCTGCAAAAATACCAACGTTTGTTGAAGAAAAGTATCCACAGAAATTTGTATTAACAACAAAGGTTGCGTTTTACAAAGAAATAAAATTTAAAAAAGAATAAAATTTCATGCAACAACCATATTTGATGGAGAATCCATCCCGGAATAACAAACGTCTGATTATGAAGGTCGGATTCTCTTATCCAATACCAAGTCATATTGTCCTGATCAGTCCTAACACTAACGTTTCAATGCTAAGCATTTAGTGAGGCAACAGTAAGTACCATTTTTATAAGACTTTTATATGACTCAGCCGGTGTTCGAACTACCGACCTTCCGCATCCGAGGCGAACGCTCTAACCACTAAGGCCCCGGATAGGTTACAAACGTGAATTTAAGTTAGATTAATGCAACATATTATAGCTCGATTTGATGATTCAGTGTGCATTTAAAAATACAATGAAGTAGTTTTACGCATTGAAGATCTCTGAAGTTTAAAGGTCAGTGTCAGCTAAAATGGTCTCCGTTTCGAAAGAATTTTGCCAATTACAATAAGAAATAATGCATACTACAAGCATGTTAAATAAAGTGTATGGCTACTATAAAAATGAGATCAAATGCTTAGACATTTTGTGACAAAATCGTTTTTATGACTTATAAGAATTATGACTTTAATGAACACGTGATATTTTTTACCGCGATTTACTGCTTATCTAATGCAAGTAATGTCACTTGTATCTTCCTTAGGTAAGATGTCGATTGGTCAATCGAACAAGCAAACGCGTCATTAATACTAACATCATATAAACAAAAATTGAGAGCAGTGCATTTGGGTATTAGGCGGTCGATTAGGATGTTACCACGACGATTTACGACATTCCAAATATCCAGGCGCTTTCTCAGACCTAAAATCTACTTTTATCAAAAGATTGATGGCGTTTCATATCTGGTTGATAGTTCAAGATTGTTCCACGCGATAGTGGTCGGAGGTAGAAATGAATTTTTATAGAATATTGTTGTGTTTGTATGGTTACAAAACAAATCACCATATCTATAGTATAAGCTACAAAGTAATCACCATATCCCAGATTGTAAGCTGCCAAATGATCACCATATCTCAAAGTATAAATCTCCAGAGTGATCACCATATCCATATTATAAGCTACAAAGTGATCACCATATCCCAAATTATAAGTTGCCAAGTGATCACCATATCCCAAATTATTAGCTGCCAGGTAATCACCATATCCCAAATTATTAGCTGCCAAGTGATCACCATATCCCAAATTATAAGCTGCGAAGTTATAACATTATCCCAAAATATAATCTGCCAAGTGACTACCATATTACAAATTAACAACTGCCAAGTGATCACCATATCCCAAAATATAAGCTGCCAACTGATCACCATATCCCAAATTATAAACTGCCAATTTATCACAATATCCCAAAATATAAGCTGCCAAGTGATCACCATATAAACTATAGAGTGATTACAATATCCCAAATTATAAGCTGTAGTGATTAAAATATACAAAACGATCACCGTTATCTTAATTGAAGAGCCGATTTTTGCCTGATATGGTCATACGAAACACTATTGAAAAAAAACGAAAATTGGTTAATAAATAAAAAAAATATATGCAGTATATATGAATACAGATGCCTATGATCCACACTTTTCCCACGATTAATTTGGGTCACTTTATAAATAGCTGGTAATTACCCTCAACCAAATGAAATACCTAAGACCAAGGTAAATCCAACCTACTTGTAACCCGCAACCTATCTGAAAAATCCAATTTCCTTTCAGTTCTTGTTTGAAGAATACAACAATAATCAAGTAAAATAATTATCTACTCATATATTGAACGCAGGATTGAAAATAAACTTTCCCTTCTCAAACGAAATTTAGGGCAGGTATTTTCAGGTAGGTACACAAAATAAATCGATATCTTTTGTAAACAAACCATTTTATTTAAATACACTTAAATGCCATATTGAAAAAATGACATTTATAGTCATATTACATTACTGAGTTTAAAAGTGATGCATTAATATATAATTATATTTTCATTATGAAACTAATTTTTTGATTATGGGATATACTTTGCGCATTGACAAACTGCCAACTTCTTTATCTACGTACCCAAAATGTCTGATTGATCTTTTGTTCCTGCAAATGATATATCGATCAGTCCTTGTACATATTGACCAAAATGCATAAAATAAACACAAAATTGAACCCTTATGATTCAAACCACGTCGAATAATTCTTTGAAATGAAATGCGAATGACAAGATAATGAAACTAACTGTCACACCCTAAGGGGTGTGTGGTATTAGTGTTCGAAGCTTTGGAATACAATAATATTCTTTTCATTTTTCTTCCAAATGAAATTGGCAATGCATGAAGTCCGCTGCTTATTGCTGGGGTTTTCTTCCTAACTTCTGAAGTTTTGATGGCAATGACAATGCAAAACTAGTTTTCTGCACTTGAAGGAAATTGCAAACCTTCGTAATATATATTAAGTGCATTAGTTCATCCAAAATCAAGATAAGTCACGTGTCTGAGCGGTCATATGATACAGAGAGATCTGCTATACCATTTACTTAATAATCCAAGAGTTCATGGTATCAGTTTCTTTTTCATACGTTGCCTACAAATGCATGCTCGGTAACACTGTGAGGCACTTAAAGGCTATATTATTTGCTACCACGTGATATATTCTGATATATAATGGCCCCTGTCTAGGGCATCCATTTATTTGAACTCCTGCCATTAAAGGTAAAGCAAACAAAAGTTTTCCCTTAATGTTTCCATTATTTGACTATCAACAGTGTAAATCATCCCGCCGTTTACGAGATAGTTTCGATACAATATTTATATCTCTGGTTATAATATTAAAGAAATCCATTGATCACAGTCTAGAACTCGCGATTCCGAGAAAGGTGTGCAAAATAATGAAAACAAACAATTATTTTCCCTTAACATATTTGTCAATACAACAACCACAAAGCGACATAATGCTTAGAGAAAGAAGATATATTATTACAAAATAGAAAGAATAACAACATGGTTCAGCAACGAATTCTCTCTTGTATGTGTGTTTATAGTAAGATTCTTTTAATATAAATAAACGTCATGACTTGCAAGAAATAAACTTTCTTCTGATTGAAGGTACGACTAACGAATGGGACTTCCGCTTTGTTTTGATGTTGCACTTGAATAGTCCCTGTTCAATACCCACGAATCTAGTCCCAGTCTATATTTTTAGATCATTTTTTTTTCGCTGTCTCTGGGGGTGATCCCAGAGTTAGATTTAGGCATTCTTGGTAAGGATTTTAAAGCAATTGTTTATTTTTTAGAATATGAGCTTATGGTGTGGTTGTCTGTGTGTATTTCGGCGACAGTGCACAGTACGTAATAAGGCCATGGTGATGGTTTGAAAGTGAAATCTGTGTTCCGTTGCATAGTGTTTTGTTTACAATTCAGCCTCTCAAAAAGCTGCAAGTCAACCCTTGACAAGAACCTCACCTTAAAGTTATCTTTGAATGCATTTTAGATTAAAATATGAATTGCATCATTTGTCACACAGTGTAAAGTTCAGTACAGAGAATGCATAGTAAAATTAATTGTGTTATATGGCCTGTCTGTGCAATATTTGAGTAAAAATTAAACTCGTCTAAAATCTTTGTTATTAATGACAGACACATGAAATTTTAATATGTTGTGTATATTGCCTTTGAAAATATAAGATTGAAATTAAAGTTAAAAAAATATTTTTATTTTAAAATAATTAATCAAATGTGTCAAAAAATTAAAAATTATATTTTCCCACCAAAACTGCACATATATAATATGTATTGGGAATGATATTGAATGATATCAGCATGTTTATAATCCTACACCATATACAAGCTCAAATGATGGATATTTGTCTAATTTTGTTAGAGAAAATATCTTTGTAAGGCAAAATAGGACTTTCACTTAAAATACATGAAGACAAAATTCTACTTTGTATTGTACCTTGAGATCATTGAAACTATTTATTTGGGGTACAAATAGTTCATTTATATGTTTATGATGGGGTGACTTCCTGAAAAAAAAACAACATATCTGCTTGAATAGCTATCACTAATTGTTTATCACATAAATTATAGGGTATTTAGTGAGAGGGCAGAGATGAAGACTTTATACTAGATCCTGCTCAAGTTCTCTTAAAAATCATATTAAGCTGTCGGAGAATGAAATGCAGGTCAAAGGAATAAAGTATACTTTCCCCAGGTATATTTACCCTGGCGTGTCAGAAAACAGCAACATGGTGTAAGTTGAGCAAATAATTCATTCCATTTTATTGTTCAGTTTCTTTAAGACATTGATTGATGTAGTACGGCATTGTGGCCTAGTTGATATTATGGGAATTCTAATGATCCATTTTGCTTATGCATTATTAATTATTATCTGGCAACTGACACTAAAGATTACATAAAAATATGCAAACATTATTTGAATTTAACTTTGTACAGCTAATCTGCACATGGTTATACAGCTGACATTAACACATATGCATATATGTTAGAATGTTTGCGATCAAAACTTGACATTCATTATATCATATAGGATGACATTGTACCTATAATTAATTTTTAATGCTCAGTTATGGCTGTATGCACTCCAAATATCCCAAGATGTTATTTTCATCATGAATAACCCATCGTATGGCAAGATATTTTAATTTAATACTTTGACAGAGTGTGGCATTGCAGCATCGTCGGATATATGATTCCACTGAATCAATGAGCTTAATAACTACCAAACAAAACTCTTAAAATATACTAAAAATGTTCAAACAGATTATTTGAATCATGTTTGCACATGTGATGTTACCAAGTACATTGCATATGTCTAACACGTGCAAATGTTCATCCTTGTTTACAAGTTTTGGCGATCAGAATTTCACATTTGGTTGATGATATAGGATCTATTGGTACCTATAGTTGATATGTATGGCCACATTTGGCTGTATTCACTCACAATATTCAAAATTATTATTTTCCTCATGAATAAGATTGCTTATATTAATAAATTTTAATTTGGTACATTGTTATTTGACTTTCCAGTAAGCTAGTAGTTACTCATGGTTCCAACAATAATCAAATCTCAGCTTTCCAACATTGCCTTAACGTTTATGATGCATACTCTCTCTGATTAGTTATATGACCTGTAAATGGCAAAATATGCTTGTAGAAACCTCATCTATTTTCATGATGCATTTATCACTTTAATACATGCCCATTGCTTGACGTTTTTGAGTGATACTGTCACGTTTTCTATTTTTTTTAATGTTCGCAACCTGAATGTTATTTTGA